TTTTTGCTTTAAAATGATGGACGGGCAGGAGTACTCGTAGACTCCATCTCATCGATACACTTTCTCCATCATGTCAATAAATGGGTACCTGCTTTAGCCTTGCAAGCAGAAGTGATGAACAAGGAGAGCTGCCCATGCCAGCTGGCCGGCGAGGCTGCTATGCCCAGGTGCCTGAGCGGGAGCTGAAGCTTTGTTGTTTTTTTGTTTGTGGTTTTTGGACTAAGGCACATTGCTCATTTTTGAAGCAAAGCTCATTGAAATCAAGAGGACTGGGAAGCTGAACTGTGCATGATACAGGGAAAGAAGGAAAAACAATAAAATGGACATTTATCTCTGAAGTGTGTCAGCCGCCTCTTATTTCTTAGTGCATTATTTACCAGTTAAGTTATTTGACAAATAAATTCCATTGTTTAAAACGGAAGTTGACAAATTACTGTCATATATAAACTCAGATTAAATTGTAATTTCTCTCTCAATTACTGTGTCTCTTTTTAATTAACTCTGCACATTAGCAAGACGCTTTTAAACAAAACAAACTATACACTTGGTGTTAAGCCAAACTGTATACTAAAGGATCGACTCCTACTTTATGCAGATAGGCCAAGAAAAATTCTGTTAGCAGGACACCTGGCCATGTTTTCTGCAAACTTGCCTACACCAAAGCTGGGAAAAACTCTTTTAAAGCACAAATGCGTCCGTGTCCCTTTTTATGCAGTTCCCCCCTAAAAAGTTTGTTGTGTAACACATAAACAAGTAATTTCCGCTGAAATACGAGGGGGGAAAAAACAACTACATGTGAAAAAAAGAATCACAACGCCCGTAAGAGGCACCGCTGGGATTCGAACCCAGGATCTCCTGTTTACTAGACAGGCGCTTTAACCAACTAAGCCACGGCGCCCGGGTGCTGCTACAAGTGGCAGAGCTGGCCTCATGTATCTCAGAGAACGGTCTGCTCGGCAATTACATAACAAGAAAGCGTGGCTCTGATCATTCACCTCCGTGGAAAATGTTTTCGGTTTCTTATGGCCGCCGCCTACAAAGCTGGTATATTGCATTTTTTTTAAAAAAATTGCATTATATAGAAAATGAGAGTAATTGATGAAGGCTCTCTGCCTCTGTCCGAGATCCACGTGGCTATTAAAACCGGGACCGCGCCCCGTCCACCCTCCCGCCGAGCTGTTTTTCAAAGGCTTGGCGCCTCAGTGTGCGCGTGAGAGAGAGTCCCGGCAGGGCACGGCGGGGCGCGGGGGGTGTGTGGAGAGGGGGCCCCTCCTTCTCTCTCGGCCGGTGGTTCTCGTCAGTAGCCGGGCGCTTCCTTTTCTGTCATTCAGGCGCTCTTTGCGTGAGCCAGGCAGGCCCGCGGCTCTGTTTATTTTTACTAGTTAAATAAAACCTGTTTTTTTTTTTAAAAAAAACTCTGTTTCCTTTCATTGTCCTACAGCCTTCTCCACCTATGGAGCTGCAACAATGTATCTACTTTGCAAAGCTCAGCTGGTAAGCCTGTTTTACTCACACTCAGTTGATAACAAAGTCATTGATTTTCCTTTTTGAAAGGCCTTTTCTGAGGATCAATATTTCAGCCCCTGCAGGCTGGATTCTTGCCAAATAATGATAAGTGGTGGTTGGGTTCAACCCTTCTTTTTCAAGATAAGCAAGATTGATCTTTGCAATTTATATGAGCTATTTTAAATCTAGGGCTGTTTAGGGTCACCTATGCTCCTTCCCTGCCCGTGAGGATATTTTAATTTTTTTAAAAAAATTGTAACCAGTGCAGCGCATGTGCAGAGGAAGTTTTTAATTTCCCAGTGTCCTGAAGTGGCCTGTCTTCTAAAGCTACTTCAGGATATGGGAAACTGGAGCCATGCTTCTTGTGTTTTATATTTTATGCTTTGAACTGTAATTTGTTGTTCCAAGACCACTATTGAGAGCACCGTTACCATTGTCTCTCAAGACTGAAGGATGCCTACAATTGTATTGTACGTACTTGTTTTACTGCACTTTATGATATTTGATTCATGCCCCAATTGTATTATTATTTTGTATACTCTATTGTTTTATCTGCTGTAAACTGCCCAGAGTGGCCCTGTCTGCCAGATGGGTGGTATAGAAATCAAATAAGTAATAATAACAGGCCTTTCTGGATATTACATCAACAGAGTGCAGTCGTTCTTTCAGCACTTCAATTATCTGCTCTGCCACTTTGCCTTTATTAATTGTTTTTATGTTTGTTTTTAGTTTAAGCGGATTGATACATTTAATTTGATTATTTTGTATTATTATTATGTTTTGTGAATTTATTTAAAGTGTTATTTGTTGTTTTACAATGTTGTGAAATGTCCAGAATGGTCTTGGCAGCCAGATGGGTGGAACAAAAGTTGAATAAATAAATAGAAAATTCTCCATAATCTACAATTTTACTTGTACAGTCAAAAACAAGTACTTCTTTAAATCTGTTCTCTGTCTCTACATACATACATGTACAGTGGTGCCTCGATTACCTCGCAAAAACTAGACAATGACTTTTTTGAGCGATGTTACACTTTGCAAAAAGATTGTCATTGCTGCTATGAACGATATTTGGGTCCTTGCCTCAAGATGGTTTTTTTTACCCTGTTTTGCAAGATTCCCCCCCCCCCCTGGAACACACATTAATTCAATGGCAGAAAAAGCCATCTTGCAAAGCATTGCCAATGGGGATATGACTGCAAACCTAAATGATAGAGAATGGCAAAAACAGCCAGAAAACAAAGGGCAAAAAGATTGTAAAAACAGCTGGGAAATCACAAGGGCAATCCTCCATTAACACAAATTATGTAGTTAAGTTCCCCACATTTGGGGAAATCATAGGGATCAGCAGCATGCCCAAATGGCAATGGATAAGCCTCCCCCTGAGAAAAACACTTTACAACATGGTGTTTCCCCTCTGAGGTATGAGTTGGAATGGCCCTTTCATTTCCTACCCCCTTTTGTCCCCTGACCCCCCCCAAGTCATGGTGACCCCCTGGCTGCACCTCCCACTCAGTACAGGGCTGCACAGCCCCAGTCCTGC